CTCCCCACCCCCTCACTCCAGCTTTGCCTGCTTGTCCCCGACCCCAGTGGGTTCTCACCATTTGGGACTCGCCTTGGCCAGAGACTCCTCCTAAGTAGGCCAGGAGTCTACAGAGCCACCCTTCCAATTAATTAGAAGGAAAATTAAGATTTCACTTACACATGGAATCTAAAGAGCAATGTAAATGAACAAATGAAATGGAAACAGACTCATACACACAGAGAACAGCCTCATGGTGGCTAGAGGGGACGGGGGAGGGGGACTGGGAGAAAAAGGGATTGAGAAGTGTAGATAGGTAGTTACCGAACAGTCACAGGGATATAAAGCACAGCCCAGGGAATGTAGTCAATAATACTGTGATAACTGCATGGTGCTAGGCGGTACTGGAAATGTCAGGGGGCCTCTCTGCATGATTGTCTAACCACTAGACTGCACACATGATAATAATACAAAATAATATTGAATGTCAACTGTAACTGAAAAAAAATTAAAAAAGGACTATCAAGCCCCAGAGCAAGGGATGGAGGGAAATCTATCCAGGCCTGAGAAGGGGGCGAGGCTTCAGGGCTGAGCTCCGTGAGGTGCAGGGCTGAGAGCCAACCGGGGGAGCAGAGCGCTGTCCAATGCCCCCGCAGCCCTGGCAGAGCTGGTGGTGAGCCTCAGCATCTTGGCTCGAGTTTCCCGAGTCAACGACATGAGTGGACACAGGTCATCAGGAATCCAGAGTAGAGACATTGGGGAGGAAGAAGGGTGGACGGCGGAGAGTGGAGGAGTGTGTGGGGGAGGGGGAAAGGAAGTTGCTGTGCATGCTTTTGCAACGGTGCGTGCTCTCAAGCCAGACTCTGCTGTAAGAAACCAAGCTTAGTTCCTCTGGGAGCTGCTGGGAAAAGGTGCCTAAGCACCACCTTCTTCCTCAGAATTCTCCCGTCCAGAGTTCTCCAAAGGCTCAGACGTAGTGGCGGAGGACAAGGCCCTGAACTTTCAGCTCCCTGCGAAGGGGAGCCAAGTAGGCTTCTGGGTTTCTATGAGAAACCTGTGTGCCCCCAGGGGTCCCGGATCCTGCAGTGGGAGGTGAGCCAGGACCGTGACAGGTCCTTGAGTTGCGGGCAGGGCTCAGGCTGTGTCTGGTGGAGCTGACCTCCCTGGCCTGCGGGGAGCAGCAGGGAGCTCCAGAGGCCCTGGGCCTGCATCCGCGGTGGGCGCAGGGGGGGCCACTCCTGGGGTCTCTCTTTGTATCAGCATTCTGGGGGGCTGCATGTCTGTGAGAGCCCCCTCTGGGGTCCTAGGAGACCAGCCCTGCCCCTCCCCAGTGGGCACTGCCTGCTGGACTCCCCCAAGCTCAGTGCCAGGAGGGCTCTCACGTATGCAGGCTGGGGAGACAGCCTCTGCCCCGCAGAGACACTGGGACCCCGGTTTTGCCCCCTACTCCCCACGCTTCAGGCCAGGAGGCAGCCCACACCCCCACACAGTAGCGGCCTGGGAGAGTGCTTTTTTAATTATTGTGGTAAAATATACGTACTATAAAGTTTACCATTTTAACCATTTTTAGGTGCACAGATCAGTGACTTTAAGAACATTCATACCGCTGAGCGATCATCAACACCCACTGTCCATCTCCAGAAGGCAGAGCCCTTCATCTTCCACAACCGAAAGGCGGTCCCCATTAAGTGATAACCCCTCGCCCCCTCCCACCTGCTCCTGACACCCACCATTTCATTTCCTGTCTGTATGAATTTGACTACAGAGTATATTTTTAGAAAGTATTTCAGTGTGGTCCTCATGGCACAAATCTGCCTTCTTCCCTCTCCCCGCCCCCGGGGCTGGCCCGCGGACTTGAGCCAGGGCGCGGTATTTCGGCTGCCAGCCCCATACCTCCCTCATCCCTTTCTTCATTCTTTTTTCATTCGCTGGAGGAGCAGAACAATTAGGTTGGGGATCAGAACTGGTTCTGGCTCTGACAACTTACTGTGTGACCCCGGGGAAGTCCCTGCCCCTCTCTGAACCTCAGGAATGAGACTAGAATCCCGGGGGTCACTGACGGTTGCCATGTCATCATTCAGACGCTCTCTGTTAACCAGGCGGTTTCTTCCCCGTGAAGAGCCCTGCATAGTTTGGACGACTTTCAGCCAGGCTTGTCTGGGATATGGAAGGAAAGAGTGCCCGGCTTTGTCCCCTTCCTTCAGCCTAGTGACAAGGGGTCTGTGAACAACACACCCACTGTCAGACCCCCATTCCCTGGCCACCCTCCACCCAGTGCTGCTGTTTGTTGTCAGAACTGTTCGCTATCCTTACTGGCTATTTCCTTGTTTCAGTCGGGATTCAGAAAAGAGGAAATTAAGCGGCTTTCAGAATCACTGGAAGGACTGACGTCGACTCTAAAGCGTTTCCAGAAACAACGTGCATCTCAGCACTGAGCTGCCACAGGAGGGGCCGCCCCTGCCAGGGCAGGAAGCTGCTGTCCCCTCAGGAAGCTGACACCACAGCTGCCTTCTCCAGAGCCGCCTGCCTCGGTCCTGGTCACAGTCACGTCCACCCTGGCAGCACGGTGGCTCTGCACCCCATCTCCCCCACATATAACTCCAAATCCAGTTCCTGTCCAAGTTCCTCGAATTGGTAGAACCTAAATCATATCCAGGTCCTTAGCTGCAAGGATGTCTGGGAAATGTAGTTTTTTAGCTTTCCTACTTCCGCCTGCAGCAAGAGGGCTAGGATGAAGGTGGAACTGTCTAATCCACAGCGCCCTCCACCTACTCACAATGCAAAGGGCTCCTGACTTGGTGTTGCCCCTACCTCTTCCTCTCAGTGAGCTCTGCTATAGCTTCACCACCCATTCAGCTCAATGCTTCATCTGACATACAAAACCAAGGCAGCATATACAGGTAGTGATAATCAAAACACATTGTGTGCATGAATGAAAATTTGGCAGCGGATGTTGGGGCACCAGTGAGCAGTGAGCAGGCTAAGACCTGCTGGGCCCTTGGCACTCTAACATGACACTCAGCTGGGCAGCTAAGCCCGTCTTCAGGGCAGACCGCATGCCTCCCTATTCCTGCATAATGAATGCAGAGTTAGCCATGTCTTGGTTTTCTCTCCCAGGCCTTTGCGTTTCAGTAGAAGTGATTCATAGTAAGAAAATTGGTTTGGGGGAAGAAATAAGGACCTGACCATATGCACCAACTGAGAGGTACTTGTTATAACCAGAGGCAGCTCCAGAATGTCCAGGTAAGAGGGATGTAGCACCATAAAAAGAAATAGGGGTTAGAGAACCTACCCAAAGATCTTGCACGTACAAGGTCTGTCCAGAAGGTATCCAATCATGTAACATGAAAAAGAGACATTTACTGAATATACAAGCACAAGAAATATTGTACATAGGACAACGATGCCTCAGTCCCTTCAAAGTAGGTACCTTGGGATCCCACATAGTTCTCCCAGTCACCATCACCTGCCCTGTTGTATTTTCCTGAATTTCATCGATGGTCTGAAATCTCTTCCCTTTCAAAGGGGATTTTAGTTTTGGGAAAAGCCAGGAATCACAGGGCACCAAATCTGGGCTGTAGGGGGGTTGAGTCACCTGAGTGATTTGATGTTTCACCAAAAACTCTGCACAGGGTGTGATACATGAGTGGGGGCGTTGTCCTGATGAAGCTGCCAATCACCAGCGGCCCACAGCTGCGGCCTTCTGCATCATCTGAACAGTTTCCACGGAGGAATGTTCAAGCTTAACACAAAATTGGATGCAGACGCGTGGCTCTACTCACTCAGTCATTTTGAATGTGATGGCCACACAGTGCACATGTTCCCTGTCGTGTCTACCACCCCCACTAGTACCGTGAAGTTGTCATTGTTCACGCATGCGCATTCCAGTCCACTCTGCCTGGCTGCTCTGGGCGATGCCTCCCAGTGCCAAACAGTAGCTCAGATACCAGGTTCACTATGACATTGGGGTCAGGTGACAAAGGATTTCCGATGTGGCCCCCAGGTTGAGAGTGACAATGAGGCCAAATGTGAGGGCCCCAGGGCAGAGAGAAACAAACCAGGGAACCAACCAACCTTGCACACAAAACACCCAGGTTTTGAGAACACACAAGGGAGTTGTTCTCAAATACACAATGAGTTACCAGTGGCAAGAAGTGGTCCTAAGGGGTAGGACTAAGGCTAAGGAGTAGAAGTTACAAGGACACCTATTTTGATTTGATATGAAGAGCTGTCCCCCACTCCCCCCTCACCGTCCCCCATGAGAGCTGTCCAACAATGGCCAGAGCCCAGGATTCACTCAGGGGTGCGTTGCACTTCTACTAGGTATATTCCACAATGATCTATTAAGCGCGTTTACTCTCTGCCAGGTGCCACGAAAGCACTGTGAAAACAATGGAGGCCACGTATATATTATTCAAATAAATAAATACACATACGGTACAGTTACAACTCATGAAGGCACAAAATTAAGTTGCCAGAGGGAGAAGCCTTACTTCAGACAGGGCTCGGGAAGCCTCTCTAGGGCCTCCCGGGCAGGTGAGGGAGCCCTGGATGGCACGCACACCCCAGCCAGAGATATCAGGGGACGTGGCCCCGGCAAGGGAAGAGCGGAGCCGTGCGCTAGGGTCGGCAGGGACCTCAGCGCGCGCACTGGAGGAGCACAGGGCCCAGGGACCGGTAGTGCCTGGCCCAAGGATGCACGGCAAGGCGGTGGAGCCGTCGAGTTGTGGGGGGGGTCGGCTGGGTCCCCGTGCCACCTCCTGGAAGCCGGATGCCTGCCTCATGGCCTGACCCAGGAGCTGTGAGAGGTGGGGGCCAGAAGCAGGAGGGCTGAGGCCAGGGGTGGGGCGAATTGCGCCGGACCCCCAGAGGGGTGGGGAAAGGAGTCAAAGGGGCGGGCCTATGACGTCATTTCCGGGGTCTGGGTATAAAAGCGGGGCGCGCGCGAGCGCTGCCGCCACTGCTACCTCTACTGCAGTGTCCCAGCTGAGTACCCTGGTAGGCTGGTGGGGGGACTGACAGACGGACGAACACCGAGACGCTGCGACCATCCCCCATCCCCGCCCCAGTGCCGCGGTAGCTCGCTCCACACCTCCCGTCCAGCCACCCCTCGCCCGGGTGCCCGCCGTGCCCGGTCCCAGACCTCCGGCTGCTCGGCCCCCGGGTTCGCCATGCGCTCCACCGCTGTCCTGGCGCTTCTGCTCTGCGCCGGGCAAGGTGAGCGAGCGCGGGGTCTCGGGGGAGAGTGTCCGGGGCGCCCTGCCTGCTCCTGCCCTGCCCGCCCTGACGCCCAAGCAGGCGCAGCTCCGCGCGACCCTCCATGCCTACCCTTCCGCGCGGCGAGTTTTCAGCACCGCGGACAGCGCCACCGCCTCCCTCTTGACCCCGCGAAGTCGCCTCGGCCCAGAAGCCGCAGACCGGACGCTTTGGGCGCGACTCCTGACTCCGCGGGGCAGGGTCCCCTGGCGCCTCTACCCCGCGTCTAGGCTGCGGACCGGGCCGTGGCGGGCCAAGGTCACTGGGGGAGGTGGGAGATCTGCTGCTGGCTCCCCCTCTCGCCGCTCTCCCGCTTCATCCTCCCGATCTCCCTAGGTTCCTGCCCTTGACTTTTACCTCCCAGTATCACCTCTCACAGGCCTCCTCCTCCATCTCTTTTCCCTCCCCGCCGGGGTCTCTCTGCCTCTCCCCGCATTCTCCCGCCCCAGCCCCATTCAGCCCTTGGCCTTGTTTTCACACTTGCCTTCAGCTCCCACACCCGCCCCAGGGCAGGAGCTTTCCCAAAGGGAAGGGCTAAGGCTTTCAGGGCAGCCTCTGGGAGACACCCCCTTGGGGCAGCAGCCAGGGAAGGGAAACGAAATCAGTCCCAACCTCTCACTTGGGTGGGGGCTGTTTCGAGAGGGAGCACAGAGGTGAATGGGCCCCCGATGAGCCCAGTCAGGAAGGACTGGGCTGTCCCCTCAGGGCAGAGGGGTGACCCCAGCTCTCTCTTTTCCTTCCAGCCATCGCCCTCCCTGTGAACAGCCCGGTGAATAAAAGGGACACAGAGGTAAGAAGGGCGTGGGGACGCCCCAGGAGGGGGGTAGGAGGCCCCGGCGGACACCTTGCAGCCGGGTCTTGGTCGGCTGCAGAAGTGAGCCTGGCATAAAGCCAAGAGCCAGCACTGCGGCTGCTGAGCCTGGGGACAGCTTGCAAAAGAATACATCAAAGACTGCTTGATTGCCCTGCCAGCCTGCTGTGGGGACTTCCCCGGCTTCCTCTGAGCTGAGTCTGCAGCCCGGTGGGGCCTGAGTCTTGCCTGCCGGACTGAGGTGCCGGACCCACTGTCTTGAACATTCCGCATCTGGCAGACCCGCCAAAGGCTGTTGGGGGTAGCTCCTCTGTTCTGTGGATGTGGTTGTGGTTGTGTGATAGACATGCGAGAACCAGGTCTTCACCTCCCCCTTTGCGTGAACCCCTCCCCCCAGGGTTCTGCCAGCAACACACCCCGCCTCACAGGCACTGGAGCCAGGGCCCTCCCAAAGGGCCACAGCGCAAACCTTGGTCATAGCCTCTTCGCCCAGGATCCTGGTTGGTTGGGGCTGATGGTGGATGTCACCCAAGAAAGTGACTTAGGAGACACTCGTTGGGGGGTTCTGTAGCCAGCAAGAGACACTCCATGTTGGGTGTGTACTTGAAGTTCATTCATGCCTGAACTGGGGCTATTTCTCCAGTCTCTGGTGCTCACAGACACTTCCACTTGAGAGTCAGATAAATTTCTGCTCCCCACCTTCCCAACAGCTGTTTTCTTCCATTCCAGAGAGGCTATGGTTAAAACCCAAAGCAGCAATTTGCTTAATGATGTCTCCTCTTCTCTAGTGGCAGGCAGGCCTGTATCTAACGTCTATCACTCGTTGTGGCTGTGAGGTCTTGGGGGAATCCCTTAACTTCCCCAAGCTTCCCCTTTCCCATGTGTAATAATGTTTCCCTCGAGGGGAGCTGTGAGGAGTAGGAATCAGGCGTGAGGTTCCTGGCACACAGCGAGTTCTCGCGCAGTAAATGGACGCTGTTGCGTCTAGAGCTTCCCTTTTCAATCTCGCCATTGTTCTCGGGATCCGCACCCCATTCCTCTCCCTCAGACTCTGTCCTCTTGGACTGTGGGTTATCTGCTGCTCCCAGTGCAAGGTCTGGGGTTGCTGGGAGAGACAAGGCACAGGTTGAAGGGCCCTCCTCTCCAGGTCCCTCCTGGGAGACATGCAGGTCACCGTGCTGCACTCAGGAGCCTGGGGTCGGGGCACCAGAATGGCCGGGTAAGACTTAGCGCTCCATCCTGGGCTGCTATGACAGCTGCAGCCCGTTTGCCGGTCTGCCATCCTGGATCCGTGGATGGGTTGCCTTGGCACCCCGTACACACGGTCTCCCACCCCCTCACTCCCAACTGGCATTGCCTGGTGCACGTCTGGCACCTGCTGCTCCCCCGCCTAGCTCTAGACAGCTGCAGCAGGTCGGGAGCTGTGTGTCCCTCCCCGGAGGGGTGGTGTGGCACTTTCCGCTTTATAGAGCGTTTTCCCATTGGTGCCTTGTCACCCTGGGAGGACAGCTGGACGGTTCTTCTTGCTCCCATTTTACCAATGAGGAAACTGAGGCTCAGAGGGGTCAAGTTACGTACCCCAGGCAACTCAGCTAAGATACTGCACCACAATTGGCACCGACTTCCAATATCCACTTACCAGGTGCCTGGTTATCCCCAGCACCTTGCAAGGCGCTGGACAAGACTGTCAGAGATACGGCTGCTGTTGGCCTGGGATGGGCGCACAGATACAGCCGGCGTGTGCCCACCTCCAGCCAGCAGATCCATCTCATGGAGCCAGGCTGAGATTCCCTGTGTGTGACGCCAACAGTGTTGGGAGGCAGTGACCCAACTACTGTTTCCAGATGGGGCAAAGCCAGGTACGGGCTTTGCTCCCCTCTGGGTGGTCAAGAGAGGCTTCCTGGAGAGAGCTGACTTTTTTTTTTTAAAGATTTTATTTATTTTTATAGAGAGGGGAAGGAAGGGAGAACGAGAGGAAGAAAGTAGAGAAACATCGATATGTGAGAGATACATTGATTGGCTGCCTCTCGTGCGTCTTCAGCTGGGAACCTGGCCCACAACGCAAACATGCACCCTGACCTGGAATTAAACCGGCAACCTTCCGGGTTGCAGGATGACACCCAACCCACTGAGCCACACCAGTCAGGGCAGTATCTGGGCTTTTGGGCATTTGCAAGAGTAAAGTATTTTTTGCAAGACAGCTGTCTGATGCCCCATCTCTGGGGAAACCCTTGGGGATGAGAAGGTACCAGGTGTGCAACCTACCTCAGAGGGGCAACTGCTGGCCTAGTGGTTGGGGCGCCTGGCACATGATAAGTACCATTAAGGGTTTCTCTTGCCATTGCCATCGTCTGGCTGAGAAAGCAGAGCTGTGGCCCTCAGGCAGGCACCTGCGGACTGCTGAAGACAAAAGCCAGCACCCTTACGTCCTCATTAGAAACCTGCCCTGGAGCTCCCAGGGCCGAGTCCCAAGCCCAAAGCAACCCCCAGCGGCCCCACTCTCTTCCCAGGTGATGAAGTGCATCGTTGAGGTCATCTCGGACACGCTCTCCAAGCCCGGCCCCATGCCCGTGAGCCAGGAGTGTTTCGAGATCCTCCAAGGAGGTAGGGGCCGGGCCGGCGGTGAGGGGCGGCTGCCTGCTGCGCTGGGGGGCTGGGGCATGGGTGTGCGGCTTCAGATAGAACTCCCGGATCTAATCCGACAGTCGCTGGCTGTGTGCGTGACTTGTCCAGGCCCGTACTGCAGCCCGAGTGGACACCTGTAGATACGCGATGCATAAAGGAGCATCGTGGGTGGGCACAAGGAGGAGGAGGCTTTGCTGAGCCCCAGCCATGTTGTGACCCGCTGTTGGTCAGAGCCCACGTTAACACTGGGCTCGGGGTTAAGAGAAAAGCTGGAAACCAGTAGGTAGCAAAATGACTAAAGGGTATGCCCGGGGGTCAGACAACAGGAGCAAAGGCGTGGAGACGGGGAGACGGGTCGTGTTTGACGACGCCGGGCCTTGCGTCAGGGCAGCCGTCTCTTGGCCGAGGTCCACGTGCTGGGACAGGGGCTGACCTTGCTGTCATGGTAGAAAACTGACCGATGCCTTGGAAACGAAGTCATTTCAAAAGTGTTATCTCAAGCCCCAATCTTGCTGCCGCCATCCAGGCTTTGAGTTCCCAGAGTCAAGTCCTTGCGCTCAGCTGGAACTGTTGATGGCCCTCTCTCCCTCGGCTGTTCCCTGGCAGCGACCCATAACGACTCTCCCTCATTGCAGATGAACGGATCCTCTCCATCCTGCGACATCAGAATTTGCTGAAAGAGCTCCAAGACCTTGCGCTCCAAGGTATTTCGAGCCACCGCACATGCATCTGGGTAAATTCCCGGGACTGAGAGTCAGGCAATCAGGTTGGAAGGTCCACAGGTCCTGTTTCTTTCTGATGCACAGTTATCTCCTTTCAACCAGAGAGTGGAACGGCAGGGTCCTCCACGCCCCCCGGTCCAGCCTGCCATTGATAGCATTGAAGAGATCAAGGCCGAGGGAGGCTGAGGGTCTTGGCCGAGGTCACGCAGTGAGTTAGGGCCTTGCCAAGACCCGATGCAGCCCTCTCGTGCCCACGGCCCCCAGTGCAGTGCTGCAGCGGGGCTGCTTTCTAGATCAGCCTGCAGCGAGAGCATCTCTGCTCTGGCCACCCTCCCTGGCCCACAACCGCTGTCTCAGGCTCCTCTGGCCATTCCAGAAAATCCTGTCATGGGGGGGAAAATCATCGCCAGCTGCAGAGCTGGCCTGGGTGAGAGCCATCATTGGGCACAGGTGGGGACAGTCCCAGGAGGTGGCAGCAGCAGCGGCCTCAGGCTGACACAGGGAGAGGGGTCCCTGGGTCACAGCAGCTGGTGTAACCCTGGGGGCTTGGGCACAGGCACGGGACTGGCTTTCTCCCAGGGCCCTGGACTTACGGGGTCCGGGGTGAGCAGCGTGTGCCCGAACCAAGAACCCCCAGGAGATAACAGGCGCTGTTACGGTACGTCCTGTGCAGGGCCCCCCGGCTACCGGGCGTGTCCGGAGGGGCCCCACTCAGCCTCCGCCCCGGGACCCCCTGCTCCATCTGAGTGTCTGCCGCTCTGCGAGGCTGCAGGCAGGGCTCGTTCTCATTTCCTACATGAGAAACTGCGTCTGGAGGTGGTATGGCCTCTGATGGGCCCCAGCTGGGCGGGGACGGGGGCGGCCAACCCGCCCCTGTCCTGGAGCTCTCGCCCCCTCAGGGCCTTGCCGGGCAGGCCTGGAAGATGACAGACAAGGAGGAAATGGAGGGGCCTTCACTTTCACAGACAAGTGTGCGGGCTCAGACCAAAGGGGGCTTTTTCTCCTTTTCTCATACCAGGTGCCAAGGAGAGGGCGCATCAGCAGAATAAACACAGCAGCTTTGAGGATGAGCTCTCAGAGGTTCTTGAGAAGCAGAATGACCAGGATGGGCTGAAGGGTGCGTGCTGGCCCCCCAGCTGGAGACCAGGGGAGGGAGGAGATAACAACAGTAGTTGTCACAGACCGAGGCTCCCCAGGAGGCGGGAGCCGCTCCTCGACACCCTGTGAACAGCTGTTACTTCCTTCCACTCACCGAGGAGGCCCAGCGAGGGTGGGCTCCTTGTCGAAGGCATAACTGGAGACGTGGATCCGGGCCTGTCTCACTCCCCAGCCCTCGTTTGGCCCGTCAGCTCACCACAGAGGCTGACGCCCCAGGGCAGGAAGTGTCTGGCCTGGCTTTTCCCAGCGGCCACTGCAGCGGGGCTCCTGCCCTGAGCACCTGCGCTCCCGGGGTTCGGTGGTCCCTCAGCCTAGCCAAGGTGCGGGAGGAGCAGGTGCAGAACACTAGATGAAGCTGGATCATCCTTCTTGAAGCCAGAAGGCTTTTAGGGGTCAAAGAGATCATGGTTTAGGTCAAGGGGACTCTCTGACTCATCCTCCTACCTGCAAACACCCCCAAACTGCCCCAGCAGGCCCTGCCCTTTGCATGTGGGAGGGGGTGAAGGAGGCCGGTTTGCGGGAGCCAGGGTCTCAGTGGTCCTCTGTCTGGAAGGCTGCCTGCTGGCGAGGTGCCCTCACATGGGCCGGGGCCGTCTCCCTAGCGGCGGCTCCCACATGCTGGTTCCGTGTGGGGCCATGGCGGTGAGCGTCTGGGTGACCACGGGTGCCTGCCAGGGGCTGCAGGAGGGGGACGTCGTGCGTGTGTGTGTGCATGTGTGTGCCTGGGAGCTTCAGTAAGGGAAGCAGCCACGTGTCAGTGCGAAGAGCGCCCCGAACACAGCATTCGGAAGCTGGGCTTCAGGGCTCGGCCCAGCGGCCTGCAGACTTGGCGAGCGCACAGGCCTCCTTACCTTTCCAAGGCCGGTCCAAGTTCCTGTAAATGGGGCGGGTGTGCTGGAGTCACCAGGTGGACGTACTGTGCTTGGTGCAACTGTAACCATCCTGGTGAGCGGGGGGGACTCCGCTGTTACCGGGCTGTCTCAAAACAGCCACAAGAAAATGCCTTTAATGAAAATTCCAAATATCGAGGAATTGAGCACTTTTCCAGGATCCTCAAAACTGAGAAGCCCCATGCAGATGGGGGCGGGAAATCACAGCGCCGGCGCCCTCACCAGGGAGGTTGGGGCCCCTGCCCCGGGTCACACAGTGGTTCAGCTGATGCCCCGATTTTCTCCTCAGGGCTCTATCTTCTGGGGTCATTTTAAAGGTTTTTTGTGTTGTTGTTTTTTTAAATTACATTCTTCTTGAAGAGGTAGACTTACAAAGAAACACAATCCGTCTGTGCCCAGGTCAATCCGAGACCCGGAGAGGTAGCCTGGGTCCTGCCCTGGGTGTCCTGGGCTGGCTTATTGGAATCGAAGCGAATACGACTCAGATCTGAACTTGGGCTCCGGGGAGACCCTGAGTGCAGCCTGGTCCCCAGGGCCTGACTTTGCTCTGTTCTTTCCACAGAGGGGACAGAAGAGGCGTCCTCCAAAGATGCTGCGGAGAAAAGGGGGGACTCCCGCGAGGCGGAGAGGAACGGCGGAGACACAGACAGAGCCGGGCCCCAGGCCTCCCCAGAGCCTGGGCAGAGGCCCACGGTTGAGGAGGACGACCAAGCCCCAGGCGAGGAGGAGGAGGCCACCAACACCCACCCCCCAGCCCGCCTCCCCAGCCAGAAGCACCCAGGCCCTCAGGCCAAGGGGGACGGCCAGGGCCCCTCCGAAGGTGTGGTAGACAGAGAGAAGGGCCTGGGTGCAGAGCAAGAGCAGCAGGCAAAGAGGGAAGAGGAGGAGGAGGAGGAGGAGGAGGAGGAGGAGGAGGACCCAGAGGCTGGAGAGAAGGCCGTCTCTGAAGAAGAAGGCCCCACCACAGCATTTGACCCCCATCCGAGCCTCGGCTACAAGGAGGCCCACAGGGGCGAGAGTATGTATGCCATCTGAGACCACAAGTGTGTAGGAGAGAGGGGGTCGGATGGGAGGGGAACCTCATCCAAAATCTCATTCCACCTTCACAATGACCTGAGAGCAGGTATTATCTCCATTTTCCAGGTGGAAACTAAGGCTCAGAGAGGTTAAGTAATTAGCCCAAGGTCACACAGCTAATTTGTAGTAAAATCTGAGATTCCAACCCAGGTTTGTCTGACTCCAAAACCATGCATCTCCACGATTTCACACAGACTCCCCCCCGCCCCCAGCCCAGGAGGCTGGAGGGGCTCAGCAGGGCGGGTGCGTAGGCTTTGGGAACAGCAAGACGGGCGGGACAGGCTTCTCTGGGGACGGTTGTCAGCTTCAACCAGGGTTTGGGAAAGACCCTGGCTCCTCACATGGGCTTCGTCAGGGTCCTTCCCGCCCACCCAGCCAGGCGACCCCCTAGGTCAGGGCTGCTAGGCTGGGAGGGCTAAAGGAAGGGGCAGGCTCCCCCCGGCCACCCCTCTGGACTCCGACGGGGTCTTGCAAAGCGTGGGGCCAAGATGGCTTTTTCCCTCCGAGTAGAATCTTGAGGCAAGGCTGAGCTGGACCTCGCGTGTGGGGGTCTTTGGTTCAGCTGTGGCCACCGACAGGCCCCTGGGGAGTGGCTGGGCCGGGGAAGGTGGTGGCCCCGCCCTCATCTCCTGCTCTTGTCCACCACCTACCTGCTCCAGGTCAGTCCAAGGCTCTGGCTGTGGATGGAGGTGGGAAGACTGGGGCTGAGGAAGCTCAGGAGGGGGAGCGGGAGCGGTCCCAGGAGGAGGAGGAGGAGGAGGAGGAGACGGCAGGGGCACCTCTAGGCCCCTTCCAGGGCGGGAAGAGCAGGGAGCAGCAGCAGCAGCAGCAGCAGGAGGAGCGGTTCTCCAAGGAGTGGGAGGAAGCCAAGCGCTGGAGCAAGATGGACCAGCTGGCCAGAGAGCTGACGGCCGAGAAGCGGCTGGCAGGGGAGGAGGAGGAGGAGGAGGAGGACGACAACGACCCCGACCGCTCCATGAAGCTCTCCTTCCAGGCCCGGGGCTATGGCTTCAGGGGCCCCGGGCTGCAGCTGCCTCGAGGCTGGCGGCCGTCCCCCCAGGAGGACACCGTGGAGGCAGGCCTGCCCCTCCCGGTGCGCGGCTACCCAGAGGAGAAGAAGGAGGAGGAGGGCAGCGCCAACCGCAGACCGGAGGTTGGTATGGGCGGAAGTCAGCCCCGGGTGTGGGCCCAGCTGAGGGGCGGCGGCCCCCAGATGTGTGGCTGCTGCTCCATGAGGGGCCGCGGCCCCCTGGGAGTCCGGGCTGGAGAGGGGCTCGCGCAGGGAGCTCTGGGAGGCTTCAGGGTCCGGGCAGACCTGGGAAGGGGCAGGGGAGAGGGCGCGTCAGGCAGGAAGGCACGTGACCCGGGCTACAGCGGGCGCCCAGAGAGGCCGGCGGGCGGCAGGCAGCGGACGGAAAGGGTGCGGGTCAGCGTGTGGAAGCAGGAGAAGGGCTAAGTAGAGCCAGACTCCGGGGGTGCTGAGTTACAACTGTCCTGAAGACAGCCGGGGGCCTCTGCAGGCCTGGGAGCAGGGCAGGAGAGTGATGGGTGGGGCGCACAGCTTCGGAGGGAGAGAGATTGGAAACAACAGGGCCTGATGGGACAGGCCCGAGCGGGGCCACGTGCTGCCCAGGGGATCCAAAGCCAGGGCGCCGTCGCCCCCAAGGGCTGGGAGGGCACAAGAGGGCAGGACACTAAGGGACAGTTGGCGTCCTGGGAAGACCCTGAGGTGGGTCCAACTGGGTTGTCCCCTGGACCCACGCAGCCCAGGTGCACCCTCCTCTCCCAGGTTCAGGCCTGCCTCCCACCCCTGAATAGCAGAGGGGGAGGGGACAGGGCCAGTTGACCCTCTGCCTGGTGGTGGGTGGGGGAGCAGGTGGGTGCCCGAAAATCTGGGCTCTGCCTCCTCCTCGCCGTGTGACCTTGGGCAGGTCACTCTCCTCCCAACCTCATCGGTCGCCCGGTTTGTGAAATGGGGTGAGGAGTCCTTTCTGCTCACCTCATTATCATGCACAGAGCACACGCGAGCTTTGGGAACTGGCCGTGCCCAGGGCTGCTCAAGGAGCTCCGCAGGGCACGACACGCAACCTGCGGGAGGCATGAGGTGTGAGGCGGGAGCGGGGGTCCCTGCCAGGCTGGCCACACAGCCTTGGAGCTGGTGGTTGGGGGGGTCAGTGGTTCAAACCTCGGGGCCCAGGTGGGAATCAGGACCTTTCCGGGGGCTGGGACCTATCCACCCAGAGGAGGCCTTGGCGCTTTCCTCAGGTCCCCAACCCTCGCTCTGGGCCTGGGACCAGGGCCCTGGCAGCCTGAGAGGGAGAAGGCGCTTGCCTGTGGCCCCAGGAGACCGGGGGGAGGGGGCTACCGACAATAACAGCTTGCTCCCCACCCCTCGTTTTTGGGCCAAGGACGAGGCTGGGCACCTTTGATCACCCCTGCCGCACCCCAGAGGGGCCCCGAGGCGCCTGCCAGCTCCCTTCTTCATGGGCAGAGGTGGCCCTGCGCTGTGGGGGAGAAGGGGGGGCCAGTCCACCCAGCCCAAGGGTCTCCTTAGAAATGGCCCCAGCATCACAGCACTCATGCCCCAGAGGGCTCTGGGGTCCCGGTTTCCATGGCAACCTACAGTCCCTGGTAGGGCTGTAACTGCTAGTGCAGGGTTGGGGAGGGTACCCTCTGTAGCCTGGCATCTGGCAGGGACCCCAGAAGACCATCTCTTCTGGGTCAAGGCCGGGGCAGCCTTCCCTGACTCCTACTCCGAGTTTGGGAGCATGCCCTCACAGGCCTCAGACCTGGTTCCAGGGGCCTGAAAGCTTCCCGACCTTGGGGCCCCCAGCCGGGCTCACAGAATGTGCCCTTGAACCGCCCTGTCAACCAGAGCTCAGGGCCCCCAACTGGGAGCAGGGATCGAGGCCTGGCCCCAGGCAGGCGGACTGGGGGCAGCTGGCACAGTCTCTGGCCCGTGCCAAGAGCCCACGGCCGCTCAGATGGCAGTAGGGGTGGCAGGGGGGCCTGGCCTTGAGCAGGGAGCCCCCATCAGAGTCCGGGCCTGGCGTGGGGGACCAGAACCCTGCACCAGAGGCTTCGTTTCCCAGGGGCCCCCCTGGAGCCCTTCAGGAGGCAGCTGGCCTGAATAAGAGGCCACCGGGGTGGTGTGGGGTCAGTCTGTTTCCCCACGTTCTTGTGCACAGTACTCCTCAGAGCAGCCCTGTAGGTTGGCATCCCCGTCCCCGTGGTATACAGAGGCCCCTGAGGCTTAGAGCGGCAAGGCCACACGTCCAAGGCCACACAGCTGGCCAGCAGCACAGCCCGTCTGGCTGGCGGCGCACCCCACCATGCGGGCCCCGCCTCCCCGGGCGGGCCCCTGTGTGACCCTCGGCATTCTCTCCTAGGACCAGGAGCTGGAGAGCCTGTCGGCCATCGAGGCAGAGCTGGAGAAGGTGGCCCACCAGCTGCAGGCGCTGCGGCGGGGGTGAGGTGCCAGCTGGCCCCCCGGCCAGGGCCCCGAGGCACCCTGCGGTCCTGGCTCTGCTGTCCCCTTTGCAGGGCCTGGCCAGTTGCCCTGCACCCTGCTTCCGGTAGGGAGGCAGCCCCAGCCTGCCCTCGCCCAGGCCACCCTGTTGTTCCCACACTCCTTTCTTCCTGCTCTCGACCCCAGTGCGCCCCTCTGCAGGGCAGAGCCCTACCACTTTAAACAATGATCCTCTCTCTGAACACAGGAAGCTTTCTAGAAGTTTTCCTTCCACATCAGAGCCATTGGGCACAATTGCAATAACTCCCGACCTTTTGGTGAAAGCTGAGAACTCCTGACAGTAATATATTCTTTACAAACTTTGTCAAAGGAAAAATAAATCCGCTCTGGGCTCTCCTGTTTCTTTGAACTTTTCCCCCTCTTGACTCAGAGTGCGGTGCAGTGGATTGGATTCCGGCAAAGGGACAAGGGCAGGTTCGGTCCCCCCAGGTGACTCTTTTCCGGACAACCTCCTAGCCATGGGATCTTGGGCAAGGGACTCGGCATCTCTGAGCATCAGTTTTCTCATCTTTTGCATAATGGGGTGCCCACATCTGCCTCCATGTGTGCGGGGGTTAAATGACACGTGCAGAGGGGCTCCCCGGTCCCTTCCTGTCCCCATTTCCCAGCCGCTCCCGAGCTGGGCCGCAGGTGGGGTCAGTCTGGGAAACAGCCTCTGGTCTCCATGGCACTGGGGAGGCCTGAGCCCCGGGACAGCGCCTGCCGCCAGGGCCCCTAGGCGTGAGTCTGCCGCCCGCCTGACCTGGCTCGCGCACAGGAGTCGGGGGCATCCAAAGGTCTTGCACACTTAACGGTTCGCTAGAGTGTGGCAGGTCTCAGTCTCAGCTTTGAGAATAAGGGAACTGAGGCTCACAAGATGAAATGACTCACTGGAGTCACAGGCAGGGGTGATACCCAAAACACGGAACCGTGGGGACCTCAGGATCACACATCAGAGAGGACCGGGCTGGCAGAGGGGCGCGCGGAGAATCAGGGCCGCTCAGTCGTTTGGGAGACATCTGTGAGTGGCTGCTTTGGGCCCGGCACCCCTGGGTTCACAGGTACACAGGACAGGTGCTGACTTTAAGAAGCCACTGCCCGAACAGGCGGGGTTTGACACCAGGCTGGAGTTGGCGCCCCCAGCTGGCCAGAGAGCCCAGGCCAGCGTCCCCGGCTCCCTCGGAGCCTCGGTTTCCTCCGTTGTGAAGCGGGGTCAATGCTTCCTGTCTCCTCACTGGGCCACGGTGGGGATTCGAGAGGCCTGGACGGCCCGGAGCAGGAAACCGTTATGTTGACAACACGAGCCATTTGAGTGGGTCTCGGCAAGTCGCAGGGTAGCTGAATGGATAAACGCCCGCTGCTGCTGACGCTTGGCCTCCCAAGCACCGGGGACACCCTCTGAGGAGTTTGTGCTATAAGCGTTTATTTCTTCCTGTTTCAAAGAGACAGTTTTGCCCTCCGTCCCCAACAGTGACAGAAACAAACACCACGCTATTTTCCACTAGCCGGTCAAGTGCCAAACATTCACTACCAAGTCTAGTTAGCCAGTGGGTCACCTTGTCTCTGAAACAGCCCGCCCTAAAGATGGGCCACCTGTGCTGCCATAGTCCCAATCCCGTGGAAGACATGCAACCAATTCAAAAGAGCCAGTGCATCTGATTACTCAATAGAAATATTTCAGGCCAGAAGGGAGTGGCGTGAAATATTCAAGGTGATGAAAAGCAAGGACCTACAACCAAGGCTACTTTACCCAGAGAGGCTCTCATTTAAAATCGAAGGAGAAATAAGGAGCTTCTCAGACAAGAAAAAGCTAAAGGAGTTTGTTAACACCAAACCAGTACTGCACCAGATGTTAAAGGGCGAAGAAGGAGAAGATGAGGACAACAGAGGAAGACCATCTAACAATAAAATGGCACTACATATGTATCAATCAATAATCACCACCTTAAATGTAAATGGCTTAGACACTCCCACAAAAAGAGAGTAGCTGAATGGATAAGGAAACAAGACCCATATATGTGCTGTCCCCAAGAGACCCACCTCAGATCAAAAGATACACACAGACTAAAAGTAAAGGGTTGGAAAAAGATATTTTGTGCAAATGGAAAAGGAAATAAAGCTGGAGTAGCGGTACTTATATCCAACAAAATAGTCTATAAAAACAAGGCTATAGTAAGGATGAAGGACTCTACATAATGATAAAGGGAACAACCCAAGAGGCTACAACCCTAGTAAACATTTACACACCTAACATACGAGCCCCTAAATATGTGAAGCAAATCTTGATGGACAAAAGGGGAGAGATCGACAGAAATATCATCGTGATTGGGTATTTTAACACATCATTGACTTGAATGGATAGATCTTCCAGGCAGAAAATCAACAAGGAGACAGTGGCCCTAAATGACACACTAGATCAAAGGGATTTAATTGATATTTTCAGAGCATTTCACCCCAGAGCAGCAGAATACACATACTTTTCAAATGCACATGGAATGTTGTGTAGGATAGACCACGTTTTGGGACACAAAACAAGTCTCAATAAATTTAAGAAGATAGAAATCACATCAAGCATCTTCTCTGACCACAATGCTATGAAACTAGAAATCAATCACAAGAAGAACACAGAAAAACATGCAAAGACATGGAAGCTAAATAACATGTTACTAAACAATGAACAGGTTAACAACGAGATCAAGGAAGAAATCAGAAGATACCTTGAAACAGATGAAAATGAGCATACATCAATTCAAAATCTGGAACACTGGCAAAACGATCCTAAGAGGGAAATCTGTAGTGTTTCAGGCCTATCTCAAAGAACAAGAAAAAATGAACTCAAAATGAACAATCTAACTTCACAAGGAACTTGAAAAAGAACAAAGTCCAAAGTGAGTATAAGGAAAGAAATAATAAAGATCGGTGCAGAAATAAATGAAATAGAGCCTAAAAAAATGATACAAAAGATCAATGAATCCAAGAGCTGGTTCTTTGAAAAGATAAACAAGATTGACAAATCTTTAACCAGACTCATCAAGGAAAAAAGAGAAAGGACTTAAATAAATAAACTCAGAAATGAAAGAGGAGAAATAACAATTCACACCAAAGAAATACGAAGGGTTGTAAGAAAATATGAATAATTATAAGCCAACAAACTGGACAACCTAGACAAAATGGATAAATTCCTAGAAATATACAATTTTCCAGAAATAAATCATTAAGGATCAGAGAATCTGAATAGACAGACTACACCTAATGAAATTGAAGCAGTAATCAAAAACCTCCTAAGAAACAAAAGCCCTGGACCAGATGGCTTCACAGGTGAATTTTACCAAACATTCTGAGAAGAACTAATACCTCTTCTCAAACTATTTCGTAAAATTCAAGAGGAGGGAAGGCTTTCAAACTCATTTCACAAGGCCAGCATTATCCTAATTCCAAAACCAGATAAAGACACTACAAAGAAACAAAATGTAGGCTAATATCCCTGATGAACAAAGATACTAAAATCCTCAACAAAATATTAGCAAATCGAATATAGCAATGCATCAAAAAGATCATATACTATGATCAAGTGGGTTTTATTCCAGGGACGCAAGGTTGGTACATTTGCATATCAATAAGTGTAATTCACCACATAAACAAAATGAAGGATAAAAACCATATGATTATATCAATAGATGCAGAAAAAGCTTTCGATAAAATCCAGCACCCATTTATATATCAAAACTCTTAACAAGGTTCCTCCAAGAAACCAACAGAACTGATAAATGAATTCAGCAAAGTAGCAGGATACAAAATTAATATCCAGAAATCAGTTGCATTTTTATATGCCAATAATTAACAGGGAAATTAAGAAAACAATTCCATTCACAATTGCTTCAAAAATAATAAAATACCTAGGAATGAACCTAACCAAGGATGTAAAAGACCTGTACTTGGAAAATTATAAGACACTAAAGAAAGAATTTGAAGAAAATACAAATAAGTGTAAGCACATACCGTGTTCATGGACAGGGAGAACTAACATCATTAAAATGTTCATACTACCCAAAGCAATCTATAAAGTCAATGCAATTCTTATCAAGATTCCAAGATGTATTTCACAGAACTAGAACAAATATTTCAAAAATTTGTATGGAACCACAGCAGGCCCCATATAGCAACAGCAATCCTGAAAAAGAAGAACAAAGTTGGAGGAATCACACTAACTAGTATCAAACTACACTACAAGGCTATAGTAATCAAAACAGCCTGGTACTGGCATAAAAACAGACATATAGATCAATGCAACAGAATAGAGAGCTCAGAAATAAATCCAGACTTTTACAGTCAATTAATATTTGATAGAGGAAGCACATACAATGGGCTCAAGATAGTTTATTCAATAAGTGGTGTTGGGAAAACTGGACAGATACATGTGGAAAAATGAAACACCACACACAAGAATGAATTAAAAAATGGATCAAAGACGTAAATGTCAGACCTGAAATCATAAAAATCCTAGAAGAAAACATAGGCAACAAAATATCAGATACTGCTCACAGAAATTTTTATCTGCTATATCTCCCAAGGGAAACAAAAGAAAAAAAACAAATGGGACCACATCAAACTAAAAAGCTTTTGCATAGCAAAGGAACATCACCAAAATAAAAAGACAACCCACAGAATGGGAGAACATATTTGCCGATACATCGGATAAGGTGTTAATATCCAAAATTAATAAAGTACTTACAAAACTCAACACCATAAAAAACAAACAACCCAATTAAAAAATGGGCAAAGGATCTGAATAGACACTTCTTCAGAGTACAGAGGGACCATAGACATATGAAAAGATGTTCAATGTCACTCATCATTAGAGAAATGCAAATTAAAATCACTATATCACCTCACACCTGTCAGAAAGGCTATCGTCAATAAATCAACAAACAACAAGTGCTGGTGGGGATGTGGAGAAAGGGGAGCCCTTCTGCACTGTTGGCGGGAATGCAGACTGGTGCAGCCGCTGTGGGAAGCAGTGTGTAGACCATTCAAAAAATTAAAAATGGAACTTCCTTTTGACCCACTTCTGGGAATATATCCAAAGGAAACCAAAACACTAATTCAAAAGAGCATAAGCACCCCTATGTTCATTGCAGCGTTATTTACAATCGCCAAGATATAGAAACAGCCCAAGTGTTCATAGATGAGTGGATAAAACGACTATGGGACATTTACACAATGGAATACTACTTGGCCATAAAAAAGAAAATTTTACCCTTTGCAACAGTATGAACAGATCTGGAGAACATTATGCTAAATGAAATATGCCAGTCAGAGAAAGACAAATACCATATGATTTCACTCATATGTGGAATCTAATGAACAAACTGAACAGGCAAAACAGAGACAGACTCATAGATGGAGAGCAGATGACAGCTAGTGTGTGGGGGGCAGTTACGGGGTGGAGGGGCTGAGCAAGGACTCAAGGACACGGACAACAGTGTGGTGGCTGCCCTGGGGGGAGGGGAATAAGGGACTAAATGGTAATGGGCAAAAAAATACAATAAAGATTAAATTTTAAAAAAAGAGCCAGAGGACAAAGCTTCTTGGTTTGTACAGAAGCTGTGCTTTTATATCTAGTATAGATATTCATATAAACACGTACATATATGTACAAAGATTAAGTCTGGTGAGCGCTCCTTGTGAACAGGGTGGAAGCAGGTAGCATCTGTCACAAGGCACAGGTGTTGGCACTAAAACCAGAACTGCTGAAGTGGGGGGGACCACCGTGCCCCAAGGCTTCCGAGAGCAAGCTTCAGAGGGCCTGACCCCTGGCAGAGGTCAGGCTGCGGCAAGGGGCAGTCTCTCTAAGCCGCCAGGTGATGGACAACTCTGGCGGTAAAGAGAAAATGCCCCCACTCCTGAAAGAAGCCCCTGGTGATCTGGGGGGGCCCAGTGGTCAGAAGGATGAGGGAGCAGGTTGTCCCGTAGGTCAGCTTGTCTCTGAGCAGCGTGTGCACGCACACACTCCCGTGTGTTGGGGGCGTTCCAAGACCTTGATGGCAATGCTGTGCAGAGAAGGGGCACAGGCATGGGTCCTTTGTCACGAAGAGGAGGACCGATGGGAGAGCCTCCTGTCTGAGGGCCACATCATCTCAGACTCAGGGCCTGGCCATGTGACTGAGGAGATGCCCATAACTCTTGTCAAGGGCTGATGCCCTTCTCTGTCCCGCGGTGCCAAGGTGGAGGGTGGCAGGCCCAGGCTCCTGCGGGGCAGCCCGCTCCCAGCCCAAGGCCTCTGCAGCTCAGGCCCTTAGCCGTGGCCCAAGGAAGGATGGGGCTGCCAGGGATCTCACCGGGTGATGGGTCGGTATCTAGGGGACTGGAGAGAGCAGATGCAAACCCCAGGGGCACGAAGGAAGCCATTCAGTGGCTCCTGTGGCAGCGGCCAGCGTGGGTGCCGGAACTGAGGGCCAGGCTCCCAGACTGGGACAAGGACAACAGCCGCTTTTCCTGGTTGGCTTGAAAACAGCTTTCCACCCGTGTTCCTCAACCTTCCATGAGGCCCCGTGCTCTGGGTAAAGAGGGAATCTTTTTCAAGGTTTTCACCTTCAATGATAGGTTCAAGACTACAGGAAGGCCCCTTAAAGTGCCCCCTGCTGGCTCCTCAGGGACAGGAGCAGGGTCTGCCTTCTGCAGCTCCGCCCACCATGTGCTGCACACCCGGGCGCCCATGACGCCACAGCAAGGACCTCCTCCAGGAGACCCCTGCCCCTTGCAGATATCCAGTGCCTGCACTCAGCAGGGGCTGTTCGCGGAAACACCACGTCATAACCAAACGTCTGTGGGCAGAACTCGGCCCGGAGCCTCTGCTCCAGGTGGCCCAGGCCAGGGACCTCGCCCGTGACCCTCTGAACCTACCCAAGGCCCCAGCCAAAACGTGGCCCTGATGTTCACCACCTGATGCTGCAGGGCCAGACCTCAACGTGTCCACCAACTGGCAGAGAGAGGCCAGTGACAATGAGGCCCAAGGGGAAGTCACTCCATGAACGGTGTCAGTGTGCGCCCAGGGGCACGGCGGGGGGCTGGGGGGGAGGTATAGTTCTCACCACTGCTCAGTCCCTCTCCTGCACCACGGTCCCCAAGCCCCTGCGGAGATGGCCACTGTCTGCTGTACGGGGCAGCGGGGGCGGGGGGGTGACCTGCACGCACCTGGCCGCTCCGCTGCTTTTATGAAGCTGAACAGCCCCCGATTTCCTCTCAGGAAAATTGATTACCATGTTTGCGTTGAGGCCACATCACAGAAGTGCCTTGTGATCCGGGGCCCGGACACTAACATATGCAACACTGGGAGTGACGCAGAACACAACACAGGAACACAACACAGCCAGGGGTCGCGCCGCATTCCCTGCCTGCTCCTCAGGCAAATTGGGATTGGAATTTTATTTGAAAAGGTGAAGCCATTTTATTAGAAGACTGGCAGAACGACAAACTTGAGCAACACTGTGTGAACACACGTGAAATGCAGCTGATTCAGTAGTTTATTCTGGAGACAAGCGGTGCAAGAGGCCAGCCACGCTTTCCTGCCTCCTGGGGCTCGGGGCGCGCCGAGGACAGGCGACACAGACATTGTAACCGGGGTCCGACACTCGAGTCGTGTAGACGCGGTCCGTCAGCAGGCCCTCGGTGTCCGGGTCGCCGGGCAGTTCTGACGGCACCTGCCCCTCACCCCGGGCCTGAGGGCAGAGACCCCACTCCCTGTGGAGCCAGGCCCGAGGGTTCCTCCAGGTGCCCGGCTCGGCGGCCTCCCCCCGGCCACCCTCCCCGGGCTGCGCAGGGAAGCCTGGAGGCCCGTTCCTCTTTCTCAAAGTCAACTGGTTTCAAAGACACAGGCATACGCTCAGGGGCCCTGCGCATCTCTCCCAGTGCTCACATTGTCCTAGGACAGCCAAGCCCCTCACAGGCCCCTCCCGAGGAAGGAGCTTCCGGCCTGCTGGGACCATGGGTCATGTCAGCCAGTGGGTGTTGTCTGCTGCCACCCAAGGCTGGGCGACTAACAGGGGAGGGGGCACCGTGTTTGCTCACCTCTGGGGCTGCTGCTCCTTCGCACCTGGCTGGCTCTGCGCCTGGGGCCAGCAGTGGGGAGGGGAGGGGAGTGCGGGCCACCAGGCAAGGGCGGCGGGGGCGGGCAGGTGTGAACAGGGATGGAGAGAATGCACAGCCTCCTCCTGCCTGGGAAGAGGATGACCCCAGTTGCCTCAATGCCAAGCGCGGGCTCATCCAGGCTGGCTTCTCAGGAAAGCAGGCTGCGTCGCAGGGGCGAGGGCGTCAAGCCCGCCCTTCAGAGTTCTGGTCTCAACCGAGGACAAGAAGGCCCGGCGACTCTCGGAATGATTTGCCCACAGTCATGGCACAAATCCTTGGCACAGGCGGGATCGGCCCAGGGGCCCCAGCCAGGCAGCCTCCTCCGGGTCCCGATGAGCAGCAGTGCTTGGTCAAGGAGGGTGGCCCCTCACAGGGCTGCATGGGACACGGGGTGAGGGGCTGGGTTGACTTTAGGGAGCTGGATGTGGAGAGAGGCAGCCAACACCGGCCTTGGCCTACCCTGGGAAGGAGGTAGGCGGCGGCAGCCCAGACCCCTGGGAAATGGTAGCTGCAGCCTCCCCAGCCTGGACTCACGCTTCCGGTAAGGGCGGCTGCGCGCCTGGTGGGGTTTCAGGCCCTGCTCCTCCCAAAGCTGGGGGGGAGGCCAGCAGGAGGCGAGCCCCCTCAGGGGCAGCCTGGGGTGGGCCTTGGAGAGAAGACAGAAGAGGGGAACCGTCCACTTGCTCTGTTCAGCGTCAGCAGCCTGACCAAGGGCGACCTCCGCTGGGGCCCCCAGGGCCTGGTCCGCAGCAGCCATCGAGACCAAGACATGGATGTGCACACACACTCACACACGCACAGCAACCACACGCACACACACCCCTCCTCGCACTCAGACCTAGTGTTGAAAACACAAGCGTGTGTAAACTCAGTGAAGAGGTCTGCACAGCAGGAATGAGGCAGGACGTCCCTTTTCCACGAGGCTGGACCATTGACTGGGGATCTTCTCCATCGTCCCCGCAACCCCTCTTTCAGATAATGACATCAGAAAATCAGGTTAAAAAAAAAAATCAGACCGTTGGGAATTCTTAGTAGGATGTCGCTGCTGGGCGCAGCTTGCCCAGCGGCTGTGCTCTGTGGCCCATGCTGCCCTCTGGGTCCTGGGCTCCGCGGCTACTGGGAGGAGGCCTTGGTGGCCAGGGAGGCCACACAATGCTGCTGGAAGCTGGGCGACACGGCGGCGGTGCAGCCGAGCCTCTGGTGCGGCAGCTTGGCGGTGCTGCCTGCGCCCATGCCGCCCGCGTCGGCCTCCGCCGTCCAGGGCGGGTCCTGGCCCATCATGCTGCTGCAGCAGCCGGGGCTGGCGCTGCACGTCCGCTCGCCCGCCAGGCTGTCCGCCTGCTCCGCCAGGAGCCTGCTGTGCCTCAGGGGGGCCGCATCCCCCGCGGCCGCCGTGGCTGCGCTCTGGCCCTGCAGGACGGTGGCGATGTGGTTCAGGAGGTCTGTGAAGAACTCACTCACGCCCTCGTAGCCTGCGGGAGGGGGAAAGACAGACGGCGCTTAGCCACATGGAACAGGAGACCGGCTGCAGGTGGGGGGAGGGGACGGGGGCAGCACAGAAGATTTGGGGGGCGATCGAAGTCGCACAGCCTGACGCAAAGCCAGGGGTGCATGGCCCCAAAGGGCTGCTCCGTGGTTCGCTGCCACAGAGTGTGAGACATGGCAGAACTGGAACAGAGGAGAAACGCCTCGCGACCCTGTCCCTCCCGGGCACAGCTTCAGAGGCTTATCTAATCACGTGGCGCAGCTGGAGGTGGCAGGCCCATGGTCCAGTCCTCCTCGCGCTGAACCTTAAACACCCCTTCCCACCACGTGGCCCAGCCCAGCTTCCTCCTGTGTTGGCTGAGAACTCCCAGCGGCGACGGGAAGGGGGATGGGCGATGCCTGATCCACAGCAGCTGCTCCCGGAGCTGAGTCCTCACCCCCTAAATATCCGTGGGCCGCTGCACATGCCGTGTGCTCTGAGTCTCCGAGCCCGGGGCACAGACTGAGCACCCCAGCTGACACCTAAGGTGGAGCCCAGGTCTCCTGAACAGAAACTGCCAGGGCCTGTGTTCCCACCACAGACGCGAATGCAAATGTCAGCACACGAGCCCTTGGGAGCCACCGACCGAGCAGAATGAGAATCTAGGGCGAGGATTGTGCTGACTCCCAGAAACCGCTTCTGAAGACATGCGGCACAGGGTGGGTGCCCCACCTTCCTAAGCCCATCGGGTGGGATAAGGGCCAGGCACACAGCCACAGGACCAAGGGTTAGGAAGGGAAGCGCGCCCCTGAAGACTGGTGTGCCATTTGGAGGGGCTCCCAGCGTGGCCGACCCCCCGCCATGCCGCTGTGGGCCACCACGGGAGGCACCGGGCGGTGGGGCTGCCGCGTCTGCACAGCGGACGGCTGCTGTGGTTTTGAGGGAGCCCGCGACTGCGGGGGTCAGCGGCAGAGGTGCCCGCAGCAAGAATGAAAATGGCTAAGTGGCTGGCCCACATGCTCCCATGAGCACAACGTCCCTTGCTTAACGTTCCAGTTCCAAGAGCTAAGGGACTGGCCCCCAAAAAGCAAGCACTGCCGAAAGGTGGGCATGTGGCCGGTCACCATGAGAGTGAGGGGGCTGGGCCAGTGTTCATGCGGGTTCAAAGCCCCGGCCCGGGCCCAGGGTCGCCCTCCTTTACGGATGAGGACGCACGTGTCTGCGTGGCAGAGCCAGGATCTGAGCCAGGCCCTTTGGTTCCCCCTGTGCCTTGAGTAGCACCCTAGGCCTGGGCTTCTTTCAGCCCTGGGGTTGGTGGGGAAGGGCAGGGCGGACTCAGGCCCTGGGGAGCCACCAGTAGGCGCGCTGCTGGGTTTCCAGGGAAGGGACACAGCGGGGGAGCAGGGCTGGAGCCACATCAGGCCAGCACCAGGCAACATAAGCCGTTCCCTCAGCAACCGCCCTGCTGTCCCCAGGTGAGGCCTGGGAGCCCAGGGCGGGGCGTGTACACTTCCTGGTGGGAGACGGAGGCCTGAGAGTGGACGGGGTCGGGGGGCCAGGAACAGCCCTACATGTCTTGGCAACCTGGCCCAAAGCCACCCAGGCCGCTCTGGGCCCACAGCACTCCAGCTAAGGGGCGAGCCAGCACCGCGGGGCCGCAGCCCAGGGCCAGGCTGTGCCAACACCACCTCCTGTCTCTGCCAGGTGGGAGCACTGTTCCCACTGTGCAGAAGTGAACATGGGAGACGCCCCCCACCCCCCAACCAGAGCTGAGAGGCAGGAAGCCTTGTGATCAGGAGCACAGGCTGACTTCGTTGCCAGGTAAATTTGGACAAGTCGTCCAGCACTCCCCCGCCCCACCCTCCATCGGAAAACAAGGTGCTGTGCGTAAAGCTCTCGGGGCTGGCCTGGGGTGGCAGTGTCGGCAACACCTGAAGCAGGAAGTGCCCTCGGACGCGGTGATACTGGACACCCACAGCCCCGAGGCAGCCAGCCAGGGCCTGACGCCCGTGAGCAAGCCCTCCCTGTGCACAGGGGCCTCCTCGCGCCCTGCAAATGCCCCGATCGGCCCCCGTGTGGTGGAATCCCCTGCTGAGCCCCTCGCTGAGGCGAGACCTAAGACGCACACTCAGAGGCCACAAGGGCCCGGCCTGTACTCCCCCCACCCCCCTGGGCTCCAGCAGCCAGCAGGGCACACGGCCCAGCCACAGGGAGCACTGCAGCTTGGGACGGGAGCGGGAACACAGCCCTGCCGCTGACTGCAGTATGACCCGGGGCAACGTCCCCCTCCCTGCAGGGCTCAGTGCCCTACGTGTAACTCGTGAGGCTTGTGTTCCCACCAGCGTTCTTTCAGCTCTTTAAATCTGCATGGGCCACAGGAGCAGCCGAGACTTAGCCCGTAGAGGCTAACGCTGCAGGAGCAGGGTCAGGAGAGCAGGGACAGAGAACACGTGGCTGTGCGGGCCCACTACGCGCATCCCTGGCTGGATGCACCACCTTCCCCTGCTTCTCCCCACACCCCGCAACCCCAGGAGCGGGGCGCTGAGGCTCAGCGGGGGCTGCACTGACCCCCCAGGCCCCGCCGACAGCGAGGCTGCCCCGCCACCTGCCCGAGGACACCAGCCCCTGCCACTCACCTGGGAAGGCGTTGATGTCGATGACCGCATGCTGCCCCGTCTGGTTGTTGATGATGATATCGATCCCAAAGAGCGACACGCCCAGCGCCTGCCGCAGGGCCCGGGAGAGCTCCCGGATGACCTCGTCGCTCGGCCGCTCAAACACGCCCTCAATCTTGTCCAGCTGCAGACACACCACACACGCAGGTACACACACAGGAGTCAGGCCGTGGGGGAGGTCAGCGCCCCACCACACAGGCCCTCAGCCAAGGCGGCGGGCAGACCCCCCGGCCAGCGCCAGCACAGCCATCTCTGAAGTCCTGCCGACTGGGCAGGCCCCAGGTGTCCAGTGCCCATGGCCTGTCTGGTTCCTGTAACACCCTGGGAGGGGGTGCCACCACCAGCGTTTTACATGCTGGGAAGCTGACGCTCAGAAAGGGTCAGGGGCTGGTCCAGGGCTGGCTTTGTACCCAGGTTTTTAAGGCTCTAAAACCCAACCATCTTAGCAGGAAGAAGGAGAGAGCCTGCTGTGAACCCAGGAAGGCTTTGTGGCACGGGGAGCATGAGCTGGACCTGCACGGTGGGGGGCGTTTGGGAGAAGGAGGGAAGCACCAGGCGAGGCACGCGGAAGCAATGGCGCGGAGCCCGCAGGGCAGCTGTGAGCAGCGGAAGTCAGGGCGGGGGGGTGGGGGCGCTTAGGGGAACTTGGCCAGCATCTCTGCGGTGGGCCCTGGGGCCAGCGCCTCAAGCAGGAAGGCGGAGGGTTCTGTGGGCCAGCCCAGTGCTGGGGAGGGGAGAGCACAGGGCTCCTGGGCGGGGCTCACCCCTCCCACAGCAGCCGCTAATATGGCGCTTCTACGCTAACTCACACCCCATGGGAATGGACTTCCCCGAGGAGGCCACTCCGCTGTGCCCACCGGACCCCGGGGTCCGAGTCCACTTCCAGCGAAGCCTCCATGGGGCCAATAGGCTGTCCCCGCCCCGCCACCACCACCACCTCTCCTCCTCTGCCCAGTCACAGCTGATGGGCTCAGCGCGGGCCCCGGCCAGGGCCTCCAAGGGGCAAAAGGCTGCGCTGGGGAGGAATCAGATCAGAGCGTCTGGATTTGCTTCCCGACGGCGATGCCCTAGCTCCGTGCTCTTAGGGAAAAGGACTTGGTTTTTTGGTGCCTCCATTTGCTCATCTGCGAAACAGGACCGATGAGGCTTCCACTCCAGACCACTTGGAGAAACCGTGAGGTCACCGATGTGGTGGGGACAGTGCGTGCCTGGCTGAGAGGAGGTGCTCTGCTGAACTCGGGCAGGGACAGCACCGTGTCCCCTCCAAGTGAGCCAAAACAGGGCTCTGAGGAGGTGCCCGGTAAATGCCTGAGTCCTGAGGGCCGTGGGCTCAGGAGCTAATGTGGAGGAAGGAGGACTTGATCTACCAGAAACGAGAGCGAAGCTGGGTCAAAACATTAAACGCGGGATCATCACGTGACCCAGCAATCCCACTCCTCGGCATGAGCCCCAGAACACTGAACGCGGGCATTTGCACGCAGGCATTCGAATGCCCACGCTCACAGCAGCACTGCGCACAGGGTCCAGCCCCGTCAGCAGAGGCACAGGTAAACAGACTGCGTCACTCACACAACGGAGTGTCGTTCAGCTGTGTGACCCTGCAACAGGGCAGCACCTTGAAAACATCAGGCCAAGTGAGGAAGCCGGACGCAGAGGCTCACATGTCGTACGATTCCCTTACTATGGAAGGTTCAGAAGAGGTGAATCCAGAGACAAAAAGCAGATCCGTGGTTGCCAGGGGCTGGGATGGGGGGGCCATGGGGAGGCGCTGCTAAACGGGGACAGGGCTTCCTTTCAGGATGATGAAAATGTTTTGGGACTAGATAGAGGGGGTGACTGTACCACACAGTAAATGTGCCTAGTGCCACTGACTTGTTCAGGTTAAAAAAGCGAGGCTGGCCCTCACTGGTGTGACTCAGTGGGCTGGGCGTCCCCCCACAAACCGAAAGGTCGCCGGTTCGGCGTCTGGTCAGAGCGCAAGCCTGGGGTGCGGGCCAGGTCCCCTGTTGGGGGCTTTCAAGAGGCAACTGAGTAATGTTTCCTTGCACATCAATGTTTCTCTCCCTCCCTCTAAAAATAAATAAATAAAATCGTAAAAAAAAAAAACCCACCAGTGAGGCTGGGTCAGGAGGGCTGGGGACAGGGCCCAGGACGCCCAGGGCAAACAGCCCTCATCCCAGCACAGGGAGCCACAGCGGCAAGTGGGGAGCCTCCAGACTCGGGCAGAGCAGGGAGCCCACACTTGGGCAGCGTCAGTGCTTCACTGCGAACCTCCTCCCCCCGCTGGCCCCGCACGAAAGGCAGGGCCCTGTGTGCGCAGGCCCCCCCGTCTCGGCGTGTCACGGGAGAAAAGCGCCCTAAGGGGCTGCGACAGGCACTCATCACTGCACCTGCCCGCCCCCTGGTCACTCCTGCCCAGAAGCTCAGCCCAACGCGGCCACTGGGCCGCTGGTCCGGCCCGCGGTGGGCTCTGAGCTGTCAGGGGCCCTCTGGGTCTCACTTCTCACCCCGGTCAGTGGGGTGACACAAATACCTGCACACCGTGGGGCTGAGGCGAGGGTCCAGGAAGCTAACGTTTAAGGTGCGGAGCCTGGCTGGCAGCAACGGGAGCTCTGGCTGCTCGTTAGTGTGAAGTCCCTGACACACTGTTTAAAAGCACTTTCTCAGCTCAGCTAAGGAATCTCAGGAATCCTTTGGAGGCCCTTCGATGATCTGAACCCAATCCACCCAGGACAAGATAAAGGCATGGGAAGCCTGCCCGCGGGCAGAGCCAGCAAGGAGCCGTTCTGGAAAACGAGGCTGCGACGGAGGACGTGAGCAGTGGCCTCCCGTGGCTCGCCCCTCACGGCGACACTGCACACCCGGCACTGGGCACTGTCTTGGGAGCTCCCTGGGCCCACAGCCACCCTGCAGGGCAGGACGGAGGCCCCGAGGCACGGAGAGGCGGTGTGACTCTCCCAAGGCCACGCAGCTGGACGCAGCGGAGCGTGGCTCACTCCCCAGGCTGCCCGGTCAGTGGCCACACTCTCGGCCGGCACCCTGCACGGGCGTGTGGGGCCTGCCAGCTCGGCGTGGGAGCCAGGTCTGCGCTGGGGGCACCGGCTTGGATGGCGGGCTCCCTGCGGGAGATGGAGGAGGGGATGGAGGCCTCCCCGGGGGCGGGGGGAAGACGAGGGGCGTGTCGGGAATGGGGCTCTGTGCCCCACTGGCCTGCAGGGGTGCAGGAGAGGCTTATGCCCTACACGGGATGGGGATGGCCGGCTGCACTTCCCCCTTCAGTGCTGGGGGTTCCTCCTGCACAGCAGTCATGAGAGGAGGAAGGAGGCCCCGGAGTATCTCCAGGCTGGCTATCCTGGTTGTACAGGTAAAGAGACTGGCTGAGCGGGAGACAGGTCACTTTCCAAGTGATCCAAGGTTACTTTCAAGTGGGTCCCTCTGCTTATGACCCTCACAGGGACCCTTTGGCCTCAGTTAACAGCCCCAGCAGCTGCTGGTCCTACACACTGTGTAAGGGACTGGCAGAGACAGACTCTCGGGAAGCCTGTGGAACGCTGACCGCCCTGCGCCCTCCACCCTGGCCGAGTGACGTCTGACAGCGTCGCAGGGAGGAGCCCCGTGGAACTGGGCTCCTCTGAAGCGTCTGAAGCTTAGGAGACCAGAAAACCCTTAAAAAAACCAACTCTTTCTCACACAGACAATTTACATCCTGTAACATGCACAGCCAGGCACCAGGAGGAACCACGCTAACTCCTGCTTGTTCCCCAAGGCTCCTGACTACGGACGCTCCTGAGGAGCGTCTGTCAGCCTCCCCAAGGCGCCTGTGTTCCCTCCAGGTCCTTGCCCGCATCTGTGCTCTTTCAAGCCCTCGGCACAGCGCTGGCTCCCCAAAGGAGCCGGGAACACAGGGGAAATGGACAGGTGTCCTGGGCTGGGGCCTGAGGCGGGGTCTGCCCTGGGCCTTGCTGGTGGGCCAGCCCAGGGCAGGGAAGGGGACACGGGCAAATCCTCCCAGAAGAGCCAGGACGGCTGGGACTCGGGAGCAGGAGACCCAGCAGAGAGCCCCCGCTTCAGAGGAAGTGGTGGCAGAGGCTTCTGGCTTCCTGGCCATGGAGGGACAGCAGAGGGCAGCCCTGGGCAGCTTTTAAATGCCTGCTTTACAGTCTCTAGTGAGACAAAAAGCCCTAAACTCCCGGAAGACCCAGCTTTGGAACCAGACTGACACAGGGTCCAGTCCAGCCCTGTCCCTGCGTGGGTGGCCCTGTGAGCTTGGAGAAGCCATTCAGGCTCGCTGAGCACAGCCTCACTTCTCGGGAAAGCGGGGTCACTTGGCCTGCCCCTTCGAGGCTGGCTCGGGGCACCCAGGAAGGAGCTGGACACACAGTAACATCCAGCACTCCGAGCTCAACGCCCCCCGTGAACCAGGCCGGCACTCACAGAAGCAGCAACGGGCTCCTCACATACAGGGCTCCCGTGGGCAAGGGAAGCAAAGGAAGAGGGTATTGCCTCCTACCCCTTTCACCAAATTCCTCCTGACGGGGGTTCGGGGGGGCGGCTTCCTCATGCGGAGAGCAGAGTTAGACAGTCTTGTACCTGGAGTAACCCAGCGGTGTGCAGGTGGGGCAGGAAGTCATCGGCACGAAAGCCAGGAGCGAGCAAGCAAGCAAGAGGGGTCTCTGCAGCCTCTTCGGGTCCCAGCCCCCCAGCTCCATTTGAGAGCTCAGCCCTGGGACCCACTGCCAAGAGCACACCCACAGCAGGCTCACACCAGGCCACCCCAGCCAGAGGGACACACCTCGGTCAGGACCGATGACGACTCTGGCTTGGACACGTTGTGGCTGTTGAAGAAGATGGACTCTCGGTCTGAAAAAGCAAACAGGGAGAAGCCAGTTAGTAGCTGAAAGGAATGGCCACTCCACTGCCTGACACCAGGGGGCAGCACCACCACAGACACAAGGGGTGGTGGCCGCAATGGCCTGTGGGCTGTGCGCCCAGCAGCAGCCATCTGGGGCCCAGCGAGCCAGACACCCCCACCCCGAGGAGACTCCACACCACGGACAGACACAGGCCCATCTGCGGCTCCTGTTTCAAATTTTCTTTCCACATATAATGAAAATGACCCGCTCGTTAGAGCCCAGCAAGGCTACCATTGACCAGGATCAGACCTGGTTTTCCCCAATACCTAAGGCCGTGTTCCCAAAGTGTGTCATGTGTCCTCCGGACATGGCACCCAGACAGGGGCCACGGCGTGTGGCTCCGTGAGCAGGAGACGCCACGTGCCCACACAGCAAAGGCCCCGGGCAGCGGCCTGGCAATGCCGCTTCACCCGGCCTCCCGGGCCCAGCCCCCGCCGGGACCTGCCCACGGAGCTCCCTTTCTGTGCGGTACCAATCCCGAGAATAACGGGAGCGGTGGGATCGGGTTACTTCTTCACCCCTCGGCGAGGAAAGGAAGGCTGGTCAGTCAGGAGCACGTTCCCAAGCACTTGGAAGAGCAGACACACGAATGCAAGAATCGCACCACCACGGGCCTTGGGCAGGTTCCGGAAAAGGCCACCTATCGCCATCCCGTGAACCCCCAAGCATGGCATGGGCCATGGGTCACCGTGTGGCCCCTGTGCCCAAGGACACTTGGCTTGTCGCTGGGATCCAGGCCCTCAACGCGGGACAGAAGGCCGAGCACCATCATGTACCCGGGCCCAGGCCGAGGGCCCTGCTCCAGCCGCTGACGGCTCCTGCGGCTCCAGGGCTCCAGCAATGCAGCGCTCACGCACGAGGAAGTGACCTGGGCGGAGGCCGAGCAGGTGGGCGCTGAGGTGTACCTGGCGTCCTTCCTGCCAGCGAGGCACACAGGCCCCCGGCTGCCCCGGTGTGCCCGACAGTCCTCCCGCCGCTCCGACCAGAGCCTGTCCAGACTGGGGGCCCGAGAGATGGTCCTGGGGAGGAGCCTGGGGAGAATAAACGCCCTGCAGGACTTGTGCTGAGCTGCTCCGATCTCCACTCCTGAGCGCTGACAGCCAAGAGGAGCGAGCCTCGGGGACGGAGGGCCCCGTGGGCCAGAGGCCGCAGTGGGGCTCGAGCTGCGGGTGCGGGCACCCCGGCCTTCTGCACGCACTGCCCACCTCCCCACCCCACACCCTGGCCTGGCCCGGCCCCACTGAGCTCAGGGCACCCCCCAGCCACCCTGGGCACCCACGGGCATAGGAAGGATGGCAGGGAGGCCTAGGGGGAGGTGGGCCACCCAGAGCAGACGGACACAAGCTCCGAGGCTTGAAGGCCTGAAGGAGCGGCAAGGTGCACCAGGTGCTGACCTTTGCCAGGACGGGAAAGGAGCACTCGGGGGGGGCTGACCTGGTGCCCGCTGAACTGGACAGACCATGTCACTCAGCAGCTCCTTATGGCTTGAAGACCAATCCAAAGTGTGGCCCGTTTCAAAGGGGACACGTTCCTCCTCCTGGCTAAGCCCTCCCGGGGCCCTGGCCCGAGGACTAGTCAGAGCAGGGCAGGGAGAGCGGGCTTTGGCCCAGGTCCTCTGTGTGCAGCCTGAGCAGAGGCGGAGGGAGTGGGAATAGCTGGCGGCCGCTAACTGAGGAGACTGCGGGAAGCCGAGGTGGGTCAGAAGGGGTCAGGGTGGCCCTTGGCGCCAGCTCCTTGGGCAGCTGTAAGATACCCAGTCCCTCCAAAGCTGGAACGGGCCAGGCCCTTGCACTCTGATAGCAGGACACCCTGGGCCCCGCCCACTCTGTGCCCGAGACAGGGAGCCCTTGCAAAGAGCCACCGCCACCTCCCGGCAGGGGAGGTAGGGCAGCGAGAGGAACGTGGGTGTTTCTGTCCTCAATTTACAAAATAAGGAGTAAATGACAAGATTAGTCTCCAAATGTCCAGTAACGTAATGGTGCAGCTATGAGTTACGGCCACACTTTCTTCAGCCCCTTTTGCTTAATCTCCATGTCTCTCTCTGGGGGAGCGGGTGTGGGTAGGTCACAGAGCTACAGACGGTGGTCCAGGTCTTCCCACATACTTGTCACCTCTGCAGGGGTCCAGCCCTGACTGCAGCATCCAAGAAGCTCCCCTCACCCGGTGGACTGTCCTGAGACCGTTTCATCTGGTGCCACAATTAGTCCTTTTATTATCTCTTCCCTGGTGTGTGGTTTCTCCCACTAAAATAAGCACATGCAGACAAGATGTGTGGCTGACCAGCTCCACGTCGGGTCCCTCGCCCAGGGCTGGGTGCACAGCAGGTACAAGGAAATAAGGCATTTATCGGAGCTCAGAGGCTCTAGAGAAGAGACCAGCAGACTACAGACTGCAGGCCACACTGGCCTGCCACCTGCGCTGACAAATAAAGTTTTATTGGAGAGCAGCCATGCCCATTCCTTTACAATGTCTCCAGCGCTTTCACGCTTCAGTGGCAGCATTAGCTAACCATGAAGGAGCTGGAAATATTCACTCTCTGGCCTTTTGCAGATAAAAGTCTGCTGGCCCCTCCCTATGTGTTAGGTAGTACCATTCATTTACATCCCCCCACTAAGGGAAAAGGGCCCGATGGAGAGGGTCCTCGGGGTGCTGTGTTCTCAGAGGAAAGGGAACAGGAAATAAGCCTGCTGCACCGGAGGAGGGGCAGGGGAGGAGGAGAGAGGGCACAGTCTCCCCAAGACCGAGGACCACAGGCAGGGAGCGCAAGTGTCCCTGGCGGCTGGCGCGGCTGATGTCAACTCCCTGCGTGAGAACCTGACTCCAGTTCCAGCTGACACGCAGCTTGCAAGGGGCCACTGGCTGGGAACACACCTGACTTCAGAGACGTGAAAGCGTAAAAACCAAAGTGCCCCTGAGAATCCAAAGAGCAGGGCAGCTCTGGAGGGAAGGACACGCCCCCTCCGCCCCATGTCCTGGAGGATTCTGCTCAGCTGCTCCCAGCTCCCCGTGTCACGGGGTCGGGGCAGGGGCAGGGGGGTGCCCAAACTGGGCAATGGGAACCAGAGAGCGGAAGTGGGGGCTGGGCAGGGCCCAGAGCCCGAAGGCCCCCGTCACCCGGTCCAGCTCAAAGGGCCGCCACAAGGCTGCGCTTCTCATCCGCAAAGACTGAGCCCGCGTCAGTTCCGTGGGCGACGCCCCAACACAGCGGGCACAGAACTGGCTCGGGGGGCGGTGACGGACACACTGGGAGCTCCTCAGCTCAACTCGCCATCAGCTTGGTGTGTGTCTGTCTGTTCACTCACTCGGCTGGGTCTGCATTTTACAGCAAAGAGGCGACCCGGAAATGGCCCCAGAAAGGCACACAGACATGAAGCCCTCGTCCCAAGACAGAGGACACGGAGCCTGCACCCCACTGGACACTGGCCCAGCGGCTTTGCAACCAGGAGATAACGGGGGGCACCTTCCGTGTGGCAAGGAAGGCAATTGTGGAAAATTTGAGAGATGGAGTGACTAAAAAAAGAAAGGATGCTCCCTAAGGTATGACTACTCAACCTAATACATTTCTCAAAGACTTAAAGCATATATGTTTTAAAAATAAGAAAAATAATAAAGGGCGTTTTCAAAACTACCAGCCCCTGCGGCCCACAATTTACAAGGACGCCCCTTGCTCGTGCAGTTACATCCAAAAGGACCCCTGCAAGACACGCGTCGCCCCCCTCCCCAATCACCCCATCCCAGTGTGGGGGCCGGAGGGGACCAGGGTAAGGCCGGGGATGCCCTGAACCCGCCGCCTGGACCCCCGGAGCCCGGACCAGGCCGGTGGCACTGCACCGGGGGAGATGTTCCCAACGCGTCTGCTGGCCACGCTGCTCTAACGGGGAGCGTGGCTGAGAGAGACAAAGAACAGCCGGACTTCATTCAAGAGAGCGGCCCGAAGCCACTGGGCGCGGGCCATGACAGCAGACCCGCAGAGGGACTTTCGGAAGGCCCGTCCCTCACCAGGCACTGCGCCACGGGGCGGGCGGACAGCCCCATGCGGGGACTGGCGCAGAGCATGCTTGGGCACAGCACACCAGGGCCAGCAAGTGCCCTCCGGGGGCCCCCATGGACGGCTGCGCTTATTCCGCAAATGCTGCCCCGTTCCAAAGGTTTCCGGGACTTGCCTCGGAGACGCGTTCAGAACCACAGGGACATCCTTTGGAGCGGCCCCAATACCAGCAAATCCTTCCCCTAGTGTCAGCTTTTGAAATGGCCAGGGGTCAGCGGGCGTCAGGTGAGCAGCTGAAGAAAAGCCAGGCCTGTGGGGCCGCCGGTCTCCCTAGAAGGCCCCTCAGATGCCCCAAAGGCAGGCAGCATCCTGCCAATGCCACTGCCGCCTGACATCCGAGGGGCGCTCAGGTCTCTTTCTACTGGACACAATTCGCGCAACCTTCAGATCGCCGCTTCCCCCGCCAGGGACTACACAGGTGGCAGGGGCTCGCGCTCAGGGACAGGTGCCTGGTGCTGGTCCTGGTCCACGCGGGGCCCTGGCTGAGGGGATCTGAGAAGGCGTGAGGGCTGGTTACCTGAAATGCCCGCGGAGAAGTTCTTGAGCGAGGGCCTCTGGACCACCGTGTAGGACTCGCCGACCACAAACACTTTATACAGGACAGCGTTGTGGTTAATGAAATTCTGGACCACGCAGGGCGGCTGGATGGCGCTCAGGCCCTCCTGGTTGAACACGATGGCCATCTGGGGAGACAGGGACAGGGCTCTGTCGGCACGGCACCCCTGCAGCCTCCCAGGCCACGGTGCATCCCCTGCCCCTGCCACAGGCCCGTCTCTGCCCTGTGGCGCGAGGACTCCACAGGAGGAGTCTCGAGCAAGATGAGTGGAGTGGGACTCAGGACGCCGGGGGGTCAACCCACTCCCGCGGGGGATGGACATCCTGCACCACCAGGCTCGCCAGGCCAGGCCGGGCCGAGCTGGCTGCACAGCCTAACTCTGCTGTTCTCACTGTAGCCCAGGGAGCAGGACCCCTTGTCATGGGCCACTCAATCCTTATGACATTCTTCAAGGATTCTCCACGAAGGCCCAGGAGCGGGAGGCAGAAAACAGAAGATTGTGGGGCGGGGCGGGGAGGCCTGGGGGCGGAGCCCGAAAGGTGGAGAGGGCGGCTGCTCGCCCAGCCCCACGAAGCGCCCCGTTCCCACCACCACGTGAAGCGCCTGGTACCGTCCCCACAGTGCCGCTCGGCGGTGGGCACTGTCACTGCGCCCCTTTTACAGGCGAGGACACCGTGGCCTCGAGGAGCTCAGGGGCTTGCTAGGGAGTGACAGAGACTGGAGTGGGATTGGGCCTGCCCGGCACACGGCCTTGCCCTCGTACACACTAAGTCACACTGACGCGTAAGAGACAGGAACATGCTGCCCCCAGTCCGACTCCTCGGGGGACAGCACAGCGGTCTCCGACGGGACGGTCTGGCAGGGAGCTGAGGGAGGGAGGGCAGAGAAAACCACTCTGCCGTGGCTGAGGCCAGTCTGCCCAGGGCATGCTCAGCAGGCCAGTGGCGCTGGCGGCACCAGGTGCCGGCGGCTGCGGGGAGGGGATGTTGGCTTCGACAGCTGGCTGCCAGCCCCGCTGCCGCCCCTCGTGCCAACTGCCACGGGGCGCCACCCACTGTGCTGGTCTCAGCTGGACGGGGCAAAAGTAGAGATCCAGGTCGCGGGGGAAACAGAAAGTGCACGTGCCCCACAGTGTCCACTTCCTTAGCCGCCGAGGGGAGTAGGAGACAGTGGGGGGCCAGGCTGGGCCCGAGCCCCGGCGCCTGCTGCGCTGCACCGCACCGCACCGCACCGCATGGTGTGCTTGCCCCGCATAAACCTCATTTTCCAACTGCCCTCAGACAGGTCGGGATGGGTATTCCACTGTGGAATAAATCTGTGTGCTTGCCTTGGCTTGCAAACAAAACATAAAACCCAATAGTTCCGTGAACACACCAACCACGTGCACTGAGGTGTCCTCCAGAGGCGGGCTGGCATGCAACCAGGGGGTCCTCCTCACTGCATGCGACACCCCCAGGCACCCCCGATTAGGTGAGGAGCCCGCCCCCACCTGGGCCCCAGGCTCAGGCTGTGGAGAGCGCACCACGAGAGGGGGCGTCCCCAGTGCTAAGACCCTCCCAGGAGGTGGGAGGCCCAGAGAACACTCAGCCCCTGGAGTCTCCCGCACTCCAGACCGTGCCCCCGGGGGAGAGGGGCCCCTCCCCGAAACAGCACACTGTGGGTGGGAGCAGGGTGAGGAACACACGTGTATATTGGAGCCAGACTCTGGACGGCTGGGCTGGGGGTGAGACAGCCTCCCCTTAGGGCACTGGCCCCACACCCGAGGGTCTGATCCAGAACCACGGCCCCTTCGGCAACAACCCAGCAGGTGCATCAAGCACTTCCTGAGCCAGGCCGCACGGCAGCAGCCCACACAGTGGCTCCCCATCCTTCACAAACACCATCAGAGCCCCAGTTACGAGCGTGGGCCAGACACTCCAAAGCCGGCCAAGCACAGGGCTGGGCCTGGCCCCAGGTCTGTGTGAAGGGCACCACGCCTCCCTCCCCGCGGACCGAGCTATGCTGACGGGGCTGGTCCAGCCACACTGGACTGCGGGCGGCCTCCCACCCTGACACCCGTGACAAATGGCTGCCCGCAGGTGAAGAGGGCCGCGGGGGAGGGGGTGGCTGCAGGTGGGGCTGGTGCCTGCGAGGGCCGCGTGGGCTCAGGGGCACAGTCTGGCTGCTCGGGGCCTTCCTGCTCCCCACTGGGGCCTGGCCCGGAGGCCAGGCAGGCCCGGGCGGGGAGGGCTCCGCGAGGGCTCCCGGCCTTTGGAGACAGCTGACCTTTGCAGTGGGCCACAGCTTCCTGCCCCCCACGCTCCTTCCCACGAGCAGAGGTGGCCCGTGGCCTCGCAGCCCCTGTGGCGGCATGTGCCACAGCATGTGGCCAAGGCCTGTTTACAGGCATTTCCACACAAACACAAGCCAGGGACCAAGGGCACCGCCGCCCGGGTCGCCGTGGCCAGTCATGAGGTCTCAGGGAGCATTTCTGCGGTAGGGCTACCAGGGCAAGGCTCTCCCAGGGTCGTCTCTGTGGTTCAAATGTCTACTGCCCAGAGCGCCCCCTCCCATGGGCCTAACAGGGAGGCCTCCAGACCAGGCCCCTGTGGTGCCCAATGCAAGGGAGCATGGAGGGCCGAAGGCTACGTCCCAGGTGTGGCTCCCGAGGGTGGCGAGGGCGGCAAAGATCCATCGGAGCCCCTGCTCCTCTTGCCCCCTTAAGGCCACCTCATGTGTCCCCTGCACTGCATCGCACAGGCACCGTCTGCCTCAGGCGCTGTCTCCCACGCAGGGTCAGGACTCCCATCTTCAGCGCCCGTCCCTCGGCACCCAAGGTGGGGTCAGGAACGACCCCCGGGGGATAGAGAATGGGTGACAGGGCGCAGGCGCGCGCCCCTTCCTCCTCCAGAGCAGGACAGGGGTGGGGCTCCAGGTGCGGGAGGCAGCCTACAGACGCCGGCAGGGCCCAGCGGGGCTGGTCAAGTCCTCGAATCTTCCACTCACCTCGTGAGAGTTGGTGCCGTGGGCCACTCTGGTTTTGCAAACTGCAGGTGGGCGGGGGAGAGAAAAGCAGAGAGGGGTCAGTGCGGTTGCTCATCCTCAAGCCCACCCTGGCAGGTACAGGGAGGGAGGAGCTCGGAACCCGTGGGGCCCTTGGGGGAGGGGCCGGCAGGGCAGGGAGACATGCCGACTCCACAGTGGCCGGCTCCTGCACTCAGGGTGGGCTGGGTGGAAGACCACCTTCTGTCCACACCACACGAGCCCCCATTTCCACAGTGTGTGTGTGTATGTGGGGGCGGGGGGGACCCAAAGCCAGGCCCTCCCTGGCATCAAAGTCCTTGATCTACCCCCCAAAAGTTGAAAGCCAGGGGCCACAGACAGCCCCACCAGGCCCAGGGCCCGCCCGCCTCCCTGCGGGGCCCGGGGCGGCACACACTGAATGGGAAGGCCAGGCCGTTCTTCTCCAGCAGCCGCATGGTGTCGTCCCCGCACAGGCTCGTGAGCTCCATGAAGGGCGGTGAGCAGATCCTGTCGTCTGCAGGCAGAGGGGAGCCAAGTCAGCACGCTGCCCGCTGCCCACTGTCACCCAGGGCCCGCCTCCTGGGACAGACCCGCCCCCGGGAGAGCCAGGCCCTGCTCTCTCGCTCTGATGCCCCAAATTCCACAGTTGTGTGTGAACACACGCACACCACAGAATATTTTAAAATCGCACTAACAACATTTCTATAATTATAAAATCAACATACAATTGTACAACCAGAGATCAAAGAAAAGTAAAAACCACACACCTTCTCACTATCTCCTTAGCTTTAATTTAAGCACATACGTGTTAATACACAGAGCTTTACAACACAATACTGTTGCATAACCCAAATTTTCACTCAATAAACTACGAATATTTTTCTGGCTCATTAAAGACTTTTCCGCACCACGTGCTGTATCGGCTTAACTACACTCACAGGACCAAGCCTGCACACGGAGCTCTCAGCGCCGTCCAGCACTGGGCTGAGGCTTTGCTCGCTTCACATCTGAAGCCTGCAAAACCACCCCAGGAGGAAGCTGCAGCCAGCCAGGAGACTAAAGGGCCATGGCACGCCTTCCCTGTGGAGACCCCGCAGACCGGCCGAGGCCCGCTCCCTCCGGCTTCCTCCCTCCTTCACGCACACCCCCTCGCTGCTCCAGCCCCGGCCCAGCGCCGCCCCTCCCGTGCTCTGCTTCTCCCCGGGCACTCCTGGGCGCTCCTGTGCTGGGCGCCCACCCACTGGATTCGAGGAGTGTGGTGTCCGGAAAAGCTCTGGGAGCTGGGCCTGCCCCGCTCACCGGGGCACCCGGCTGGTGCCAGGCTCTGAGGGAGGGCACATCTGTGGCACAGCAAGCGCATTCCGACTCTGTCTACTCAGTGTTAAATTACATGACTGGTTTGGTATGTCTGCTTCTTGTCTAGTGCCCTTCCCTGCTCAGACCACCAGCGCCTCAGGAGGCGGGACCACCCTGTACTTCTGGGCACAGGGGCCGAGAAAAGCTCAGCATTAGTGGGGTAGGAGCATCCCCCCCAAACTTGGAAACTGAGCCCAAGTAAACAAGTGAGACGGCTCGTCTCCCACAGGTCTCAGCTGCTTGGCAGGCTAGGGGGTCAGTGCATTACCCCAAGCCGAGGTGCAGCCTCACAGGCCTCATAAAAACGAGCGCCAAGAATCACACAGAGCACATGAAAGGTGTTTTCATGTCCCTTCTTGACACCCCACCCCAAAAAGTCCAGACTCCAGATAGGCAAGGGTGTGGGCAGGGTTCGGGGCTGCAGAGGCTCTCAGGGGCCCCAGGAGGGTGGCCTGGAGCCAGAGCCGGCCCCGCCCTGGCAGCCGGTGCTGCGGGCCCTCCGCACGAAGCGGTCACTGCGCTGTGGCAGTGTGCCCGTGCCGAAGCAGAAGCCCAAGAGGCAGTCTTTGCCCAAGGTCACATGATGGTCAACGCCAGAGCCAGGATGAAGGGCCAGGCTCACGTGGTGAGCCAGGGAAAGGTACGTCAGGAAAATCAGGGTGGGATACATCCCGGCTCTCGGCTGCAGGTCACCACCTCGAGCAGGCCCACTTCTGCCCCCCCGGCCCGGGGTCAGAGCCGGGGTGCGCGCTCTGCTGAGGGGCTGGCAGACCCTCCCGCGACTGTGGAGGGAAGACGCAAGCGTGCAAAGGCTCACCGCTGCCAACATGCCCCCGCAGTCCAGCCCGCCCGGACGGACGTGACTCAGGCCTGATGAGGCGAGGATGCTGCAGGGCAGGCTTAGGACGGTGTCCCCCGGCCTGGCAGTGCCCGCCTGGGCCCATCCTCTCGCAGGGAAGGGTTTCGAGTGCTGCAGGCATCAGGCTGCCTCCTGTGAGTTTCCAGACTCCCCGCAGCCAGGGTTTTCAGAGCAGGGGATTCAGCCTGGCTTTTAAGTTTGCCTTGCAACGGCCTCCTCAACTTCTCCCACCCAGGCCCATCTAAACTTCTATGCAATGTCACTGCTAACAGTCAATACCTCGATGAACCACACTCGCTATATGCAGACACTGCTCCACACAGTCTGTGAAGCACCTCATTTACTCTCACAAGAACCCCATGAGAAAGCAGTCACCCCATTTTACAGATGAGGACAATGGGGCACAGAGAGGTGACGTCCCTTACACAGCGAGTGGTGCAGCTGCGGGGCTCACACCCGGGCAGCAGTTGGCTCCCGAGTCCGGGCCACTGACCACGGCCTCCCTGGTAGAAAAAGTACCCACTGCACATGAACAGAAGGGAAAAAATCCCCACAATCCTATCAGCAGATGCGGAAAAAGCACTCGACAAAATCTAACGCCGCTTCATGAGACAAACATTCAACAAACTAGGAATCGAAGGGAATAGACTCAATCTGATTGAAGGGCATCTATAAAAACCCAGAGGAACACCCTCCTGTGGTAGCAGACTGGACCCTCCCCAGGATCAGGGACGAGAGAAGGACACCTACGACCACCGCTTTCATTCACCACTGCACTGGAGGTGTCAGCCACTGCACTTAGGCAAGAAAAGGAAACAAGCACCCAAGCTGGAAAGGAAGGAGCGAAACTACCTCTGTTTGCAGATGATATGATCTTGCATAAAGAAAATCCCAAGGAATCCACACACAAAAACTCCAAAATGATTAGAATTAATGAATGAGTTCAGCAAGGTTACAGGATACAAGATCAATATTCAAAGAAGCAATTGTATTTCCATATTCTAGCAATGGACAATCCAAATGTGAAATTAAGAAAATAGCTATATTTCAATAGCATCAAAAAATACTGAGAAATAAATTTAACAAAGATCTAAACATTGAAAACAACAAACTGTTGAAAGAAATTAAAGAAGACCTCAACAAAACAACAACAGAAGCTATGATCATGGATAGAAAACGTAAGATTATTAAGATGGCAAAACTCCCACAATACGATCTACATAGAAATCCCAGCTTTCTTTGCATAGGAATTGACAAGGTAATCCTGAAATTCACGTGAAAATGCAATGGACCCAGACAGCCAAAATAACCCGGAAAGGAATAACAAAGTTGGAGGACTCACATGTGCCAATTTCAAAACTTACTACAAAGCTACAGCAATCAAGAGAGTGTGGTACTGGCACAAGGACAGATGAAGAGATTGATGGAACTGGCTTGACAGTCCAAAAATAGACCATACATCCACAGTCAATTGGTTTTTCACAAGGGTGCCAAGAAAGGGGACAAATATTCTTTTCAACAAATTGATGCTAGGACAAGTGGATCTCCACATGCAAAAAGAGACAGAAGATAGATAAATAGATAGATAGATAGATAGATAGATAGATAAAATAATAAAGAGTTGGAATCCTATCTCACACTGGATACAAAAACGGACTCAAAATGGATCATGACCTTAAATATAAGATCTAAGACAGCAAAATTCTCCGAGGAAAAACATAGGTCTAAATCTTCATGATCATGGATTAAACAATGGTTTTTTAGACACTAAAAACTCAAGCAACCAAGATAAAAATAAATAAATTTGACATCATTAAAATTAAAAACTTTTGTGCATCAAAGGACACTATCAAGAAAGTGAAGAGAATCCACAGAATCAGGGAAATATCTGTCAATCACATATCTGATTAGTGTCCAAAACATATGAAGAACGATCAATAAACCAGTAATAAAAAGACAACCCAAATTGAAAATGGGTGAAGGATTTAAATAGTTTTCAAAACAAGACATATGAAAGGCCAAACCAAACCAAACCAAACCGCACAAATGGAAAGATGCTCAGAATCTTCAGCCGTCCGGGAGGTGCACATAGAACCACAATGAGGTATTATTGTACACCTACGAGCATGGCTTTAGTCAAAGACAGGCAATACATACAAATATCAAATGCTGATTTTGCTGGTGGGGATGTACAATGGTGCAGCTGCTTTGAGAAACAGCCTGGCAGATCCTCAGTTAAACACGATTACAATATGGTTACATTCTACCTCTAGATACATAATCAAGAGGATGGAAACGTCCACATGAAAACCTGTCCAGGAATGTTCTATAAACATGATTCACAACAGTCAAAAAGTAGCAACAACCCAAGTGTCTATCAACTAATGAATGGATAAACAAAATGTGGTATATCCATACAGGGAGATCCTATTCAGCCACAAAAGGAATGAAGTACTACTACATGCTACAACACAGATGAATGTTGAAAATACGCTAAGTGAAGGAAGCCAATCACAAAAGCCACATATTATATGACTTCACTGACCTGAAATGTCCAGAATAGGCAAATCCATAGGGACGGAATGGAGATTGGTGGCTGCCAGGGACAGGGGGGATGGGGAAATGGGGAGTGGCTGCTGATGGGTACATTTCTTTTTGGAGTGATGAAAATGTTTGCAGTTAGATAGTGGTAACACTTTGTGAATATATGTAAAACTAATGAATCGTATGTATACTTTTAAAAGGTGGATTCTATGGTACGTGAATTCTATCAATAAAAATGGGACACTGGGCTAAGCAAAGGCTTCACATGAAGCATCTCCTTCAATGCACCAGCAAGCCCACAGAATCCCCCCCCCCCCGCCCCCGCCAGATCCCAGTGAAGTCAGGGGAGGACAGGGAAGCGCTCCCCTGGAAGTGCGAGGGGTCCAGATGAAGTGCAGAGATAAGATGTAGCCACTGGGTGGGCCACGTCCAGCATCAGGTCAGACACCCCCGCCTTTCTGAAATTTTAGGCTCTGGCGTGTGAGGTGGCAGCCTGGCTGGGGACAGGATCCAGCTGAGGTGGCAAAGGACCAAGTGCACCAGGAAGAGAGGCACACGCACGCTCCCTTTATCCTAATTTGGAGCTTGCTGACCACCCCAAGGAGCAGGCGCCACTGGCTGCTGACCCCACTGCTGCTGCAGGGGTGGGCCTGAGGCTGAGACCACTCGATCACACTGCTGGGGAAGGGCCCACAGTTCAAGCCCAGTCACCCAGCCTGAGCCCACAGGCAGAGGCCGGAGGGACCCCTGGCCCT